GACGTGGTAAGTGGCCCTTAGGAAGGCGTACTTACTTGGACGTGCGGGTGTGTGCGCACATGTGTGCGTGAATGCATAGGCTGAGGTCAACTGTGGGGGGGCGCCGGAAATTCGGAGGACAGGGGACGTTGGCACAGAGGCTATCTGTTAGGCAGAGGCAGCTGCGAGGTCAGGCCTCGGGGGACAAAGGCACCAGTGGAGCAGTTGTTTGTGACGACGAGTAACTTTGGGGCAGCGGGTATTGGAGAACGAAGAGGGGAACAGGCATTGAGGCCGTCCGCCCCAAGGTCCAACTTTTCTGCGCCGTTTCTAGGAGGAGACGAAACAGCAGCTAAGCTTAATTTTGGCAGGTCTACCCCATGCTCCAACACGGAAAATCACACGAACACCATGGGGACGTCTGTGATTGAAAGACTTCACATTATAGCAATGTTGATGTAGTTTGTCTAATCGCTTGGATAGGCCAGCATCTAAATTAACCGTTGTAAATGCAATCCCCTACGTAAACTCACATTGGAGCATGTGCCTCATAGTTGACTGAGAACAGTGAAATAAGGGATTAGTAAGTAGTACTTTACTTATCCTAGTTATTTTCCCCTTCTTCAGATACCGCCAGTTATGTTTGGTAGAGTCGGCGACATCGATAACCAACTAGACTCCTAGCTGGGGTTAAAATCGTGGTGGCTTACGTATTAGATTCTAGTGGCGAGGACACGCATGGCACCAGTCTCAGCCTCTATTTCCACACCTATCATGCCTGTATAGGAAGAACTGTCCGGAAGGACTGGAGCTCAGCTTGGCCGAGGTGATTGATCCCAGAAAGATCTCGTCCTGGCACGCTACGTCACACTTATTGAATATGTCACAACTAAATCAGGCTTCACCGGCTTTGGGCGGACGAGGGTTTCAGTCGTACTCTTTCTGCATGCCAGAAGTATCCGTCACCGATATGTGGCCACTGAGAACTGTTCACCTTCGTGGATCGAGCCAAGTAAACTGATGAGATTAACCATTCATGCGGCCAGTGAAAATGTTTGCGCGCATCTTTTCAGCAGGTGGACCGGACCCAGTGTCACATGTCGGTGTGCCAAAAGGTCATGAGTTTGTCAGGTGCAAACAGTCGAAAAAACCAGCGTGGGCAGTCTGCAACCCACTTCATGGGATGCTATCTAGAGTAGCACCACGCTGATAACAGTTGGTCGTTCCAGCTGGTTAATTCTGCTGCGTCGGGCCTTCACTGATACCCAACTCGCACCAGTGCCTAATAGCCACACGCCGGCAACCATCTCAACCGGTAGGCTAAACAAGATCAGGATATGGGATATTGTGTATACGGCCACAAACAGTTGTCCTGCCCTCCTTTCGACCTCCCCCCTTAAAACGTCCTATGGAGAGGGCGATATGCAATTCCGAAGGTGGTCCAGGCTAACTAGAGTAGTTCTCACGAATTGAGGCAAATGTTTGCATCCCAGGTATGTGTGTAGATAGAGAAGTAGAAGGCATTGCGATCACCTTGGGACGGTGTGAAATTCCGATGCTTAGTCCCGCAGCAATGCATTCGGTCGCTCACAAGAGGAGCTGCGTAAAAACACTCTTCAAGAGAATTCAGACTCATTGCAGTAATCCGG